CCTGCCCAGGGGTGGCACCACCTACAGTGGGTTGGGGCCTCCTACATCACTCAAAAATCAAGAAAACACCCCACAGACATAGCCATAGGCCAGTCTAATGAAGGAAATTCCCCAATTGCAGCTCCTTATATGCAGATGTTTTCAAGCTAACAACTAAAGCTATCCAGCACACCCTACAACAGAGGGACATCACCCCAGCTAGACACCATAGGCTAGCAAAGAAAAATCTCAATGCCAGGAATGGATTCCCTCTTTTGAGTCTGTTGACCAGGGGGTCCCATGGATCTTCAAACAATACTGGCCATTGCCCTGCCCACCAGAAGTTTGTGGTAAAACCCTATTGCTGAAGACACTGTATACATGAGTTGTAGAACAAACAAGGAAAAATGAAGCTGGTACTGACTTCAAAGCATCATCTTTACTGACTAGTTTTTATGGTGTTAAGAGGAAGTTACCCATGCTATCAGAAGAGAGGGTGACCATAGAACTTGTGCAGCTCTGAATCCGCTGAGCTACAAACGACTGGCTTGGTAAGATATGCCCACTGGTGCAATGGTAGCACAAATGTTACGGGAGTAACTAACCACTTTTTGCTTGGATTGGAGGTCCACTTTACAAGGTGGAGGCAATACCTGACACTGATATTAGGTCTAGGAACCCTGTGGCCCTACAGGCTACAGGCTATGGGAGAAAGCCTACTAATATTATTCTGCTAAGTAGACATACTATTACACCAACTCCTAATGACTTGTCATGCTCCTAGATTAAAGCTTAAAGAATAAGAAACTGCAGAGTACTTATCCCTGAATAGGATACCTATCTCAAACTTCCTCCTCCCAAGGCTCAAGGATCACTGTGGAAGAAGGGCCTGAGAGATTGCAAGGTGGATGACCACAAGGAAACAGTTTTCCAGAGACAACTGGAAAATTACTCATATGAACTCACAGCATTGGTGACAGCATGCACAAGTACCATGTAGACACAAACTAGACAAAATCCAAGCACAGAAGTGGGAAAGTGGAAGGAAAGCCCAATCCTAGCTGGGCAACTAATGGATAGCAGCTGGGAGAGGGAGAGTCAGTCTTCTTTTAGGGTGTGACTCTGGGTGGGTTAATCAGGCTCCAGTGGATGGGCCAACACTAAAGTACACTAGGAGACACAAGTTTGACTCAATAGGCCTAAATACATACATAATGGAGTGCCTGATACTGGGCAGGGAGTGGACGGGGGAGTGCACTTAGGGGAGGAGGACTAAGTAGTATCAAAATACATTGTATAAAGTTTTCAAAAATTCGATTTAAAAAATTAAAATAGTTAAAATAAAACAATAATGAAAAAATACTTAAATTAAAAAAATTAAAACCTTAAATAAATGGATAAGTAAAGAAATATTCAGATGCAAATCAGGTAAAATAAATATATGTCCATAAAGGACATATAATCTTTCACTTAACATTTCAAAAAAGAACTAAAGAAATTAAGTCTTAAGAGGAATTTGGTGCAATGGCTCCGTGAGTAATGGTGCTTGCTGCCAAACAACCTGCATTTGATCCCTGGGACCTACATGGTGCAAGGACAGAGGTGATGCCAACAAGTTGTCTTCCACATGTGCTGTGGTACACTTGTGCCCACCCACATACACACATATACACGAAATAAGTAAAATGAAAATGTAATAAAAAGAAGAAAATCATAAGAACTATAAAGAATTGGCATAACTAAGAATAATCAAATGGAGAAATCAGCTATTGGTACAAAATAGAGGTTTAGAAATAGAACTGACAGATTTTAGGAATGAACTAAAAGGTAGTTCCAACTAAACCAGAAGAAATGGGAGAATGATTAGTCAGTAGAGATCAAACAATCAGGGAATGCAGATTTTTTTTGTCTTTTTTGAGACAGGATCTCCTTGTAATCCCAGTTGGCCTGGAACTCACTATACAGACTAGGCTGGCCTTGAACTCAAGAGATATCCACCTGCCTCTGACTCCCAAGTGCTGGGATTAAAGGTATCACTCCCAGCCTAGAACACAGTTTAAAAAAAAATTTTTTTAAGTGAACTCATTCAAGAAAAGTCAGGTAAACAACATCTGTCTAACATCAATTTATTACCTACCTATCATCTATCTTCCATCTATCTTTCTATCAATCAGTCATCTCTCTAGCTATCATCTGTCCATCCATTCATCCTCTATCATCCATCTAGCATCTATGTAGCATCTATCTATCTAATCTATCATCTATCTATCTATCTATCTATCTATCTATCTATCTATCTATCTAACTATCTATCTATATCTATCATCTATTTATCTTTCTATCATCTATCATCTATCCATCTATCATCTATCATTCATCTATCTTTCTTTATCTATTAATCATCTGTCCTCTATAATTTATCATCTATATATATGTATCTATGTATCATCTATCTATTTATTGATCCATCTACCACCTATCACTTATTTATCTATTTGATAGGAATAAATAAGGAAGACCAAATCATGGAAGAAAATATGAAATTCTCAAAGAATCAATAAAATATTTTTTAAAATTAATTCCTGAAATAAAAGTAGACCTACATCAACCTGGGGAAAAATAAACAATTACTCCTTAAGAAAAAACCATTTTTTTTTTGGTCTTTTTGAGATAGGGTCTCCCTGTAGCCCCAGTTGTCCTGGAACTCACTATGTAGACCAGGCTGGCCTTAAACTCACAGAGATCCACCTGCCTCTGCCTCCCGAGTGCTGGGATTAAAGGTGTGTGCCACCACACCCGGCTAAGAAAAAAAAATTTAATTCCTTTGGAAAGAGTTCAAGTCCCTAGAGAAACAAAAGAGAAAATAAGATTATCAAAAGGGAAACAATTCAAGCTGGAAGACACTGGAACAACATATTTAAGATATCCAAAGAAAAAGAGCATTAGACAAAAATTACTGAAGCCAAACTGAACTTTTAGTCCCAGACAAACTGTTATAAATGAGTAGGATTCCAGGAATAATGTTTTTTCAAATTTCATTCAGTTGAGTTATCCTTCCAGAGTTTACTCATGCCAATATACAAGATGTTTATATTTTATTCCTCACGTTACTTTTTTCTCTTTCTTTTTTGTTGTTTTGTTTTTGCTTTTTATAAAATATTTTAGGGGGCTGGAGAGATGACTCAGTGGTTAAAAACACTGGTTGTTCTTGCAGAAGACCCAGGTTCGAATCCCAGCACCCACATGGCAGCTAACAACTGTCCGTAACTACAGTTCCAGGGGATCTGACAGCCTCTTCTGAGCCCTCTCCACTGGCATTGCACGATACAGGTGTACTTATCTACATGCAGGCAATACATGCATACACTTCAAATAAAAATAATAAAATTTAAAATTTTTTATTATTTTTATGTGTATGAGTATTCTGCCTGCATGTATGTAAGTGCACCTGTGTCATGCAATGCCCTAGGAGGCCAGAAGAAGGCATCGGGTCTCCTGTAACTGGAGGTTACAGTTAACATGGTGGTTGTTAGCCACCATGTGGGTGCTCGGAATGGAACCTAGGTCTTCTGAAAGAGCAGCCAGTGTTCTTAACCACTGAGCCATCTCTCCAGCCCTGTTTTTAAGAGACAGGATCTCTCTGTAGTCCCAGCTGGCCTGGATATGCTATGTTCACCTTTCTCTGCCTCCCAAGTGTTAGAATTAAAGACATTAGACAGCACACCCAGCCTCTCTTATTTATTTCTTACAAAAGGAAGAATATTGTAAATGTGCATGTAGAACAAGTGCTCTCTGTCTATAGAATTTCTGTTCTTTTTAAAGTTTTAATGTTATGTCCTGGAGATCATGTCATACAGTAGTTTAGAAATCATCACACCTTTCACAGCTCTGTGAATATACCCTACATATTCAGTAGTCCTCGAATAATGGACATTTGTATTATTTTCAGTCTTCCATTATGAATAGCAGCAATAATATGCATATATTATTTTGTATTTTCACAAATGTGTAGTTGGAATAGATTTCTTTAACAATGCATTTGATAGGAGGAGGGCAGATGCATGTGATCTTTGCTAGCTGCTGTCAAATTCTCTATAAAATCCATACTATTCTGTATTCCCACCAGCTGTGTATGAGAGTGTATATTCCTTCTCTGGGCATGGTGGTGCATGCCTGAGATTCCAGCACTTAGGGGACAGAGGCAGATGAATAAGGAGTTCAAGGCAAGCCTTAGCTACATAGTGAGTTCAAGACCAGCCTGGGCTACAGGAAATTCTGTCTCAGGAAAACAAAGATGAAGAGAAAAGGAATGTATATTACTCCAAAGTCTAAACAGACTATATTGTCAAAATAGATTTTTTTGTCCATGTGATAGTCAAGAAACATAATATTTACAACTTAAAATGAATGGGCTTATCAGAGTAAGCTTCCTTGTCAGAGGAGGAATATACCTGTACCTCTGTACTAAGTGTGAAATATTGAAATCTTCAGCTCTAATCCATTGGCATATGGATTAGTCTAGCCCTCCTCCTTTGCTTGTCTTGTAACCTTCCATTCCAACAATGGTAAGCCCAGTTCACACAATGATACACTTACCTAGTTGGTCAATTCTGGCACCCATATGTAGTATTTTCAGAACCAGTCATCTGGAACCCCCTTATAAACATTATCATTAGAGTGCAGGTCTATGAACAAGTTCTTTTGTCTTTAGTTTTGCAGAGTGTAATTTCTAAAATTTCTCAGGTCAGCATCTTATCCCTCTACTCTTTTCTATGAAGTTGTGTCATAATGTGTAGTACATATAGATTCTTTTAGGTAGTCTGTATTCCATTCTGATATTCAGATAGGAGAATCTCTGCAACAGGTACTGTTGGGAGCCTGAGGCTCAGCCATTTCTCGGGGCTGCTGGCAGACCTGAGTTTGGTGACCTCTCCATTCAGGCCACAACCTTGGCTCGCAGCCAGGGCCAAAGAGCCTTGGCCCAAAACCTTGGCTCACAGCCGGGACTAACAACCTTGGCCCAAAACCTTGGCTTGCAGCCAGGGCCCACAACCTTGGCCCACGGCCTTGTTCTCTTTTCCAGTAAATAGCCTTGTTCTCCATTAATCAGTTGATTCCTCCCTTAGAGTACGTCAGGGCCCCTGTGTTCAGAGTGCGTCGGGGTCCCTGTGTTCTGATTGATATGATTACTCACTATTCACTTCTTTGTTCTCATTCTCTATTTAAACTCATGCTTGTGCTTCAATAAATGAGACTTGATCAGAGCCCTGTCTTGTCTCCATTTCTCTTGTCACTTGCCTCATCCACATCCCCACTCCCCAATCCAGGTACTTCATGGCAGTTTCCGCAGGTCGGAACCGAGTCATATTGGTGCCCAACATGGGGCCTGGATACTGGGGACAACGTGAGGGACATGACGGAGGAAAAAGGGGTGCGCACCCGCTCAAATAATTCAGAGACGTCATGGGAGCCTGCCGCAACCGAGCTGAAGGTAAGTTGGTCATTCAATCATGGGGCAAGAATTAAGTCAGCATCAGATTTATGCGATACAGTTAAGAGAAGTTCTACAGGCAAGAGGAGTAAAGGTTAAAACTGAGGATTTATTTCATTTCTTTGATTTTGTAAAGGACATTTGTTCCTGGTTTCCCCAAGAGGGGGTCATAGATATAAAAAGATGGAGAAGAGTGGGAGATGCATTACAAGATTTTTATACAGTGTTTGGACCTGGAAAGGTCCTGGTTACTGCTTTTTCTTATTGGAATTTAATAAAAGAATTAATAGATAGGAGAGATGAACATGAACCAGTATTGGCAGCGATTGCCCGGGCTGAAGAGATTTTTAAAAATAGTTCTAAGTCAGAGTTGAAAGAGACTCCTAAGGATGAGCCTCCGGAGCCTCCTGACTTACTTTCTCTTGATAGTGAAGATGAGAGTTCTTCCAAAATCTTAAAGAAGGAGCCCTCAGAGTCAGTTCAGGGAAGGGAGATCAAGAGGATTCCCAAAAGTTTAAAAAAGAACATATTCATATTTATCCTCTTTTACCAGAAGCTCTTTTAAGAGAAACTGCCTGTCCAACCTTAGAAACAGATGGCGCAGAGGCTGTGAGGGAGGGGTTGATTTGTAAAACTGAGGATGGACCACCAAATGGCCACAAGAGGCAAGGGTGGCCCCCCTCCTTCTTATAGTATACTGCCTGCTCCAACTGTCATGGTGGTGATAGATCCTAAATCAGAATCGAGGGAGCAAATAGAACAGTTGCAGGAACAAATTAAGTTGGAGGAAATACATCAGTCACTGATACTCAAACAAATTAAGCAAGAAGAGATGCGTCAGGCACTAATGCTTAAATTACAAAAGCTTAGAATAGGTAGAGGTAGCGAGGCTGTTGCAGATAGAGAAAGAGCTTGCCCAGCCCCCAGGGGGCCCAGCCTTCACTCATATAAAGAAAATCTTAATGAACCTGATAGACTTTCCTCCCATATGGAGGCTTTTCCTGTAACAGAAACAGTGACAGAAACAGAGGCAGGCATGGCGACATCATACAGTACTTGAGTTTCTACTAGTCAAAGAATTAAAGACTGCTGTGTCGCAGTATGGAGGTACAGCTCCATATACCTTGGCTATCTTAGAAGGTGAGGCTGAGAAATGGCTAACTCCTATTGATTGGAATACATTGGTAAAGGCAGTCCTTAGTGGGGGTGATTATTTGTTATGGAAATCAGAGTATTTTGACAACTGTAAGGACACAGCTAGAAGAAATCAACAAACTGGAAATGGATGGGATTTTGATATGTTAGTAGGCAAAGGTCAGTATGGGACTAATGAATGACAGATGCAATACGATGCGGGTCTTTTTGCACAAATTCGAGTTGCTGTCACTAAAGCATGGAGAAAACTTCCAGTTAAAGGGGACCTGGGAACTTCTCTCACTTCAGTCAAACAGGGGTCTGATGAGCCATTTGCAGATTTTGTTCATCGGTTAATGACCACAGCAGGAAGAATATTTGGAAATGTTGATGCAGGACTAGAGTGTGTGAAACAGTTGGCGTATGAAAATGCTAATCCTGCCTGCCAGGAAGCCATTAGACCCTACAGGAAAAAGACGGATTTGACTGGTTATATTCGTCTGTGTGCAGACATAGGTCCGTCTTATCAACAGGGGCTTGCCATGGCAGTGGCTTTTAATGGACAAACTGTAAAGGATTTTCTGGCTGATAGGTATAAGGCTAAGAGTAAGGGGTGTTTTAAATGTGGTAAGAATGGGCACTTTGCCTGGGAATGCAAGGCAGATGATGATCAGCAAAAGACTGACGATAAAAAGGCTCCTAGAATATGTCCCAGGTGTAGAAGGGGAAGGCATTGGCTCAGTGATTGTAGGTCTAAGACTGATATTGAGGGGAGACCTTTATCTCCTTGTCAGGGAAACTGGTGGAGGGGCCAGCCCCAGGTCCTGAAACAAGCATTTGGGGCAGTCAATTTCATTCCCGCCAACAGCAACAATACATTTCAGACCTCAACAGAGCAACCCCAGGGAGCGCAGGACTGGACCTCCGTTCCTCCTCCTACACAGTATTGACTCCAGAGATGGGAATTCAGACTATAGGGACTGGAATTTATGGACCTCTCCCCAACAATACTTGCGGGCTGATATTAGGGCAAGGTAGTGCCACCCTAAAAGGCCTATCTGTTGTGCCTGGGATAATTGATGCAGATTATACAGGGGAAATAAGAATCATAGCCCGAGCTGTTGGCAATATAGTCACTATTCCACAGGGGGAGCATTTTGCTCAAATAGTTTTAATACCTCTGGTTAAATCCAGTCATCCTGTTCAAGGTAAAAGTAGAGGAAATAAAAATTTCAGTTCATCTGATGCTTATTGGGTTCAGGCCATTACTCACAAAAAAACCTACATTAACTTTATGGCTTGATGGAAAGAAATTTGATGGTCTCATTGATACTGGAGCTGATGTTACTATTATTTCTGCTGAGGCCTGGCCTACAGCCTGGCCCACAGTTGAGACTTTGACTAATTTAAAAGGTATAGGACAGAGCCATAACCCAAAACAGAGTTCAAAATTTCTCATTTGGAAGGATTCGATGAATAATTCTGGTTTGATTAAGCCTTTTGTAGTTCCTTATTCACCAGTAAACTTATGGGGAAGAGATCTGCTTTCACAAATGAGTATTGTGATGTGTAGTCCAAACGATGCTGTTACTGCACAGATGCTTGCTCAGGGCTATAACCCTGGCAGGGGATTAGGAAAAAGAGGATGGAGGATTATTTCCAATACCAATCCAAGGCCAAAATGATAATCGAGGCTTGGGAAATTTATGATGGCGGTCATTGACAATCCTGCACCCTCAAACTGTGTGGATCGTATAACCTGGTGATTGGATGATCTGGTTTGGGTAGCTCAATGGCCGCTTACAGCAGAGAAGTTGGCAGCAGCCATTCATTTGGTGCAGGAACAACTTGAGGCAGGGCGCATTGAGGAGACTTGTTCTCCGTGGAATATACCCATATTTGTTATTAAAAAGAGGTCAGGAAAATGGAGATTATTGCAAGACTTAAGAGCAGTCAATGCTACTATGGTCCTTATGGGAGATTTACAGCCAGGTTTGCCTTCGCCAGTTGCCATACCACAAGGATATTTTAAGATAATAGTAGATATTAAGGACTGTTTTTTCACTATTCCCTTATGTCCTGAGGATCGCAAATGCTTTGCTTTTAGTCTTCCTTCTATTAATTTTAGAGAGCCTATGAAGAGATATCAGTGGAAAGTTTTGCCTCAAGGAATGGCCAATAGCCCTACCCTTTGTCAGAAGTTTGTAGCCATAGCTCTTCAAAATACTAGAAATATTTGGCCATCCATGTATATAATTCATTATATGGATGATATTTTGATAACAGGTGCATCAGGGGAAGCGGTGTTGCAATGTTATGCTCAATTAAAATCTGATTTATTGGATGCAGGCTTACAAATTGCTCCTGAAAAGGTGCAAATGCAGGATCCTTATTCTTATTTAGGTTTTCAGATTGATGGATGAAAAATAACCAATCAGAAAGCTATCCTTAGACTAGATAAACTGCAAACCTTAAATGATTTCCAAAAACTATTAGGTGATATTAATTGGCTACGTCCTTATTTAAAATTGACCACTGGTGATTTAAAGCCCCTCTTTGACATCCTTAAAGGGGATGAAAGGAGATGAATCCAGCCTCACCCAGAATGCTTACTGAGGAGGCCAGAGTCACCATACATAGAGTTGAGGAAGCAATTGCTAATCAATTTGTTACCAATATAGATTATTGCAAGCCTTTATGGCTCATGATTTTTAATACTCAATTATCACCTACAGGTCTTCTTTGGAAGAAGCCCAATCATCCTATTATGTGGGTACATTCACCTGCCTCCCCAAAAAGGGTATTTCTTCCATATTATGATGCAGTAGCTGATTTAATGATTATTGGTCAGAACCACAGTCGTAAATATTTTGGTGTGGACCCTCTTCATATTGTACAGCCTTATACTAAAGATCATATTAACTGGCTACTTCAGAACTCAGAAACTTGGCTAATAGCTTGTGCTGCTTTCTTGGGGGTTTTGGATAACCACTACCCACCTGATAAGCTCATTCAATTTTGTAATTTGCATACCTTCATCTTTCCACACATTACTAGCCATCAACCTTTACCTACTGCTTTGTTGGTTTTTACAGATGGTTCCTCTAATGGGATGGCAGCCTATACTTGGAACCATCAGGTTGTGCAGTTTCAAACTGATAAGACTTCTGTGCAACTAGTGGAACTATCTGCCATTATATCAGTTTTCTCTATGTTCCCTGATACACCTCTTTATATATACTGATAGTGCATATATAGCTCGTGCTGTACCTCTTTTAGAAACTGTTCCTATAATTGCACATATTTCTGAAGCTGCAGATCTTTTTCGTCAGTGCCAGCACCTCATCCACCAGAGGGCAGCCCCATTCGTTTTAGGACACATTCGAGCACACTCTAATCTTCCTGGGCCTTTAACAGCTGACAATCAGGTTGCCATACAGCCACTAGGCTTGTTGCTATTGCTACTCCTTCTGATATTACTCAAGCTCAACAGGCTCATGAGTTGCATCATCTTAATGTGGCTTCCTTACGATTAATGTTTAAACTCACCAGAGAACAAGCTAGACAAATAGTTAAAGTATGTAAGACTTGTGTCACTTTCCTTCCTGTTCCCCATCTAGGAGTCAATCCGAGAGGACTTGTTCCTAACATGCTTTGGCAAATGGATGTATCTCATTATAATGAATTTGGCAAATTTAAATATATTCATGTTTGCATTGATACTTTCAGTGGATTTCTCTGCGCTTCCTTACAAAAAGGGGAAGCTACTAAACATGTTATTGCTCATTTGCTCCACTGCTTTTCTATAATGGGTACCCCAAAACATATTAAAATGGATAATGGTCCTGGATATGTATCTCAAGCTTTTCATAATTTCTGCAACACTTTACAAATAAAACATACGACGGGAATCCCTTATAACCCACAGGGCCAAGGTATTGTTGAAAGAGCTCACCTACTTAAAGAATACTATCCATAAAGTAAAAAAGGAGGCGTGGTATCCCATCAGGGGATCCCCCAGGAATTTATTAAATCATGTACTCTTTATTTTAAATTTTCTAAATTTAGATGCTCATGGTAAGTCGGCTGCAGATCACTTTTGGAACCCAGAATCAAAAAGACAGTATGCCATGGTCAAATGGAAGGACCCCCTGGATAATTCGTGGCATGGCCCGGATCCAGTATTAATATGGGGCAGAGGATCTGTCTGCATTTACTCACAGCAACATGATGCAGCCCGCTGGCTGCCTGAACGCTTAGTAAAGCAGATAAATGCTAATCAATGTTTCACGGAGAATGAGGCTCCCTGAGAAATGTTTTTCCTTTCTCTCTGTTTCCTTTCAGACTGCAATGGCCTCCACTTGCTGCATCCTGCTCCTCTTGATTGGTCCCGTTTGGTCGCAGATGGTGTTACAGTGGGAATTCCAAGTTAAAGAGGGAAAAACATACTCTGATGACAACATGCAAATCATCGGCACCATCCGCTGCCCAGTGAAGGGTTGTCAAACAACCGTCATCATTCCATTCGCTCCGTCTATTTTATCCTCTAAATCGAGATCTAATATATGTTTCACTTATAATAGACGCAGGTGCCTTATAGAAAGTAATGATAAGGGTCAATTCATAATTCGTGTAAATGACCCTTGGGATGACAGGTGACAGAAGGGAGTTTGAGGAAGAGTTTTTGAAAATAATGGGTTTGCTTTACTCCCGGCGGGGTTTTTAAATATTTCCCGCCAGCTGGTCCCTGCTACCATTGATAAACAAGTAAGACAGGTTATTATCATGAGTGAGACTAAGCTTCAGTCTGCCATACAGTCAAACTCCACCTTCAATCTTGCCCTTTGGCCCAATTATTTAAATTTTGCTCTACAATTGATGAATCTTTCTAATATCAATACTTCATCATGTTTGTTATGTGCCTCTTTGGTTCAGCCTTTATTGACCGCTGTCCCTGTTAACAATCCCTTTGCACTCAGTACTGATACCGCTGGCACTGCACCTTCTCCCCCCATGTCGTCAATTCCATTGCTTCGTAATCCTGCTCAAAATATTTCCCTCTGTTATATCACTACTACCTACATTTCCCCCTCCTTTGTATGTCATAGTAATCGCTTTGTCAGTTCACCTCTTTATGCTCCCCCTCTAGTGTCTTTCTGGTGCAATGGATCCTTGTATCAACAGATCACTACTTCCTCTCCAGGACCCTGTGTATTAATTACTATTGTACCCCAACTAAACATGTATTCGCCAGAGGAGTTCGCCTGGCTACTCCGCCCACACATTAAGAGAGGAGTGTTCATTCCTTTTGCAATCGGGATAGGATTTACCATCTCTGCCAGCCTTTCTGCAGGGGCCTTAGGACATACTCTCTATACTGCAAAGGAATTCAATTCCCAATTACAACAAGTCATAGAATCCACAGCCAGTAGCCTTGCGTCCTTGCAACGCCAGCTAACTTCCTTGGCACAAGTTGCCCTTCAAAACCGTAGAGCCCTTGATCTTATTACTCCTGAAAAGGGGGGAACTTGTCTTTTCCTACAGGAGGAATGCTGTTTCTATGTCAACGAATCAGGATTGGTGGAGCAAAATATACAGACCCTGCAGACCATCAGCTACAAGCTGCATAATTTTTATCAAAGTCCTTCTAGATGGCTGGATTCCCCTTTCCTTTCTTGGATTCCCTCCATGATTCCATCCCTCATTATCCTCCTACTTCTTCTTACACTAGGGCCATTGTTAGTGAAACAGCTGTTGGTCTTTATTAAGCAGCAAATAGAGGTTCTCCATGTGGCTAAACCCATACAGGTCCATTACCATCGCCTTGATCATATGGATCATGAGTTGATAGGGACATGTTGCTAGATGGCACTACTAGCCATCCCCCTTGAGAGATGAACTGGACAGTCAAAGATGGGTACGTGAGAATCCCCCCTTGTTGGCAACCTAAGACAGGAGGGTAGTCTAATGCTACTACCTTATCCAATGATGGGTAAGCCCTTGGGGAAGGATACTCCAACCTAAGACAGGCGCAGTTCCCTAAGGGTAATGCAACCTTCGATCCCTAAAACTCTATAAAGTAAAAAAGGGGGACCTGTTGGGAGCCTGAAGCTCAGCCATTTCTCAAAACTGCTGGCAGACCTGAGTTTGGTGACCTCTCCATTCAGGCCACAACCTTGGCTCGCAGCCGGGGCCAAACAGCCTTGGCCCAAAACCTTGGCTTGCAGCCAGGGCCCGCAACCTTGGCCCACAGCCTTGTTCTCTTTTCCAGTAAATAGCCTTGTTCTCCATTAATCAGTAGATTCCTCCCTTAGAGTACGTCAGTGCCCCTGTGTTCAGAGTGCGTCAGGGTCCCTGTGTTCTGATTGATATGATTACTCACTATTCACTTCTTTGTTCTCATTCTCTATTTAAACTCATGCTTGTGCTTCAATAAATGAGACTTGATCAGAGCCCTGTCTTGTCTCCATTTCTCTTGTCGCTTGCCTCATCCACATCCCCACTCCCCAATCCAGGTACTTCGTGGCAGTTTCCACGGGTCGGAACCGAGTCACATTGTGGGGTGGCCTCCTGCAAGGTACTATATGAGAAAACCATTTGCTCCTGTTATGAGGTGCTTCACCAGAGACGACCACTCAGACAAAGTTTTACCAAAAGAAAGTCATTACTGGCCAGGGCTACTACACAAGGGTGTCGGGACCTAAGTGAATAGCACTGAGCCATCTCTAGGGTAAGCTTTTATACAGAGAAACCATAACCATGGATGAAAAGTTTAAGCCCACAGGCTTACAGGTGGAGAGGCCCCTTAACAATTTCTATTACATTAAGCAACAATTACTATTTTGCAGAAGCAAGCCAAGCATAACCTACAGAGACCATAAATCTGAAGTTAGCAGGTGTACTCCAGGACACTCTGACCTGTTTCCAAGACATGGGTCTAACTGACATGTGTTCCCATACCCTGGGCCAACTGCCTGATAATTTCAGAGACCAGGGTCAGCATAAACATGGCTTATCTATGGTCAAGAAGGTGCCCTATTATACTCCCAAGGATTATTTGGTTACTTTATCAACAGGTTGCAGTTTGTGAGACACTTTGAGGTAAACAGTTCTTGACTTTTAGTAGGTCCTCAAGAGTTGGAGTTGCCATGTGCAGTTCTCTAAATAAGGTTTATTAAGTCCTTTTGTTTGACATCATTATAAGCACAGAAGAAAACAGTTCCAAAGCCATTCCTTCATTGCCTGGATAGAGTGAAGACAGTGTATGGTGTGATTATATTCAGCCACAATCTGTTACATTATGCTTTGCCACGAGGTTTTGTTCAGTGTTAGGGATCAACCCAGCACTTCAGTACACTAAACAAGCATTCTACCACTGAGCTAAATCTCAAGGATCCTTTGTTTGTGACAGTCATCTGACATTTTTTCATTGCTTTTTAATTTTAAAAATAATTTGATAATTAGATGCACTATTATTTGTGTGCACATGGCAAGGTTTTGCTATGTAGCCCAGGCTGTCCTTGAACCTCCTGTGAGCTGGGTTGCAAGTGTACACCACCATGCTTGGCCAGATTCACTGTTTTCATAGTAGTTTAAGATCCAGAAATCTAGGCAGGTGTGGTAGTGCAGGCCAATAATCTTAGCACTTAGGAGACAGAGGTAGGAGGATCTCTGTAAGATTAAGGCCAGCCTAGGATGGTCTACAGTGCAAGTTCCAGGCCAGTTGGGGCTACATAGTGAGACCCTACCTCAAACAAATGAAAAACAAAAAAGAATCAATTAAGACAGAAACATGAGAGTGCCTGTTCTGGACTCCCTCTGACATAGGGGCTGAGAACTCAGGGGACCACCTGAGAGTGCCTGGATCCTGTTTCCACATGGTAAGGCCTTTGTAGGGGAACTGACACTGATTCTAGCCACTCCAACAGCTATCAAAGTGCCTGAAAAAAAATCCTGAGTCCATCACTCTCGAGTCCAGCCTTGGCAGACAAAAGAAAAATGAGGAGGAACCCAATAGAGGGATGATTTTGGAAGCTCTCAACAAGAAATTCCAATGGACTCTCAATATGAACATTTGAAATTTGCCCAGTTCTGACTTTTTTCTTCACCCAATTCCTTCACTCTGCATCACTGTTCAGAATGGAAGAAGCCAGAGTGGTCTGCATCCCGATTCCGTATCTGCAAGCTGGGTAACCTTTTCAGAGGATCATGTGATAAGAATAGGAGGTAGGAACTGGCTAGGCAGTTAGGGTAAAAAGACCCCAGAGAAATGTAGCCAGTTTCTTGGCTAAAAGTGAAAATGTCTTTGGGCCTCTTAGCAACATACTCTGTTCCAAAGGCCAAAAATGTCAAAAGTATTTGGAAGCTCTTATCTAATCCCTAAAAGATATTAGGGTTACCTCTTCAGAGGGAGGTAAAAGTAAATCAATCAATCAAAGAAGAAGAAAGAGTACATGAAAGTTGTCAGAAAAAAGTGATGGGGAGATATGGAGGAGTTGGAGGGGAGGGCCTGGATTTGATCAAAACACCTTATATGCTTATATCCCTGTATGAAATTCTCAATAAATTTTTTTATTTGAAAAAAAAAAAGACAGAACCATAATCCTACTTTTTAAGGAGATCTCCAGGTATTTCTGCATATCCAAATATCTAACAGGCATCATAAAGCATACATTTCATCTCCTGAAACCATAGCTATACATCAATTTTTTGTACATAGCATAATAGAATTTAGAGATGTTAAAATTTATGTTTTTGTATTTATGTGTATAAGTGTTTTGCCTGCATAATGTTAAGTGCCTCACATGGGTGCAATGCCGGTGGAGACAAGAAGAGGACATTGGATCCCCTGGAACTCAAGTTAACAAATTTATTAGTCACCATGTTGGTGCTGGTAAACAAACCTAAATCTTTGCAAAAGCAGCCAGTGTTCTTAACTGTTGAGTCGTCTCTCCAGACCTGGAGAAGAGAATTTTTAGCAATGCATTTTCTAGAAAGTCTTTAAAAAAAAGAAAGAAGAGCTGGACATGGTGGCAAATGCCTTTAATCCCAGCACTTGGGAGGCAGAGGCAGGTGGATCTCTGTGAGTTCAAGGCCAGCCTGGTCTACATAGTCAGTTCCAGGCCAGATGGGACTATAGGGAGACTCTGTCTCAAAAAGACCAAAAGAGGAGGAGGAGGAGGAGGAGGAGGAAAAAAATTGAAGAAGAAGAAGAAGAAGAAGAAGAAGAAGAAGAAGAAGAAGAAGAAGAAGAAGAAGAAGAAGAAGAAGAAGAAGAAACTTCACATATTCATGGTTTGGGGAAACTAGGAGGAAAATAATGAAAAGAAAAATCCTTCAAGTTTAAAAGTAATGAAAATATTTTTTAGCAACAGGCTACATCACATTGGCATTTTAAATCATATATATATATGTATGTATATATATGTATGTATGTATATATATATATATATATAAAATCATATATATATGTAATTGAGCTTTTGTAATTTCATTCAACAGTTCTTAATCAAATTTAGGCCCCCTCCCCTATTCATGCCTCCTCCATCCCCCCACTGAACCTCATGTAGTCCGCCATACATGTTAAGTCCTATTCATTCAGGCATTTGTACCCAAGTCTTGTCAGCCCATCTAGTGATTGTATGTAAGGTCTCACCCAATCAGTCTTGGCTAGTTCTCAGTCTAGTGCTGGCCTACCACCTATTTCTCTCCTCCCCTTTGAGCCCTTGTTTAATTGAGTTGACATGGGTCTTGTGCTCGATGCCACCATTGCCACAAGTTCACAAGTGCAAGCTTCCAGTAGCCTGGAAGCCTCTGTTTCCCTGTGTTCATGAACCAGCCCTGACTCTTACAATCTTCACCCCCTCTTCTGCAATGGTCCCTGAGCTGTGGGTGGATGAGGTTCCATATAGGAGTCCTATCCTACACTCTGCAGTCTCTTATTCTTTAAAATTTGGCCAGTTGTGGCCTTCTGTGTGGATCATACTCTGTTGTATAAGGAAGCTTTGCTGGTGAGAGCTAAGGGATACATCAGTTTTCTCTCCATCCCTTATTCCTCTATCCATGAGCCTTAGTTGTAGAGGTTCAACTGTAGCTGTGTCACCTAGTAGCGGGCATCTCTGTGTCTGACCAGGTGTGCAATTCTGGTCTATCTGTTGCAGGTGTAGCCTCCATCTGTTGCAAAAAGAAGCTTGTCTGTAAATATAAAGATTGATATTCAGCATATAATAAAAAGTTTCATTTGTCTTGAGATATGAAAGAGATAGGGTTTTCTCTAGGATCTATGTCCTCTCCTGCCATGTATATTTGACTGAGTTTACAGTTTAAATCATCTTTTATAAGTCTGTTAACTCACACATAATTCCCAAGTACAGCATTTTCTTGAAGGACTCAATGAATATTTTGTTTGTTTGTTTGTTTGACTTTTTGAGACAGGGTCTCCCTGTAGCCCCAGCTAGCCTGGAACTCACTATGTAGACCAGGCTGACCTTGAACTCTACAGATGAAAGGTGTGGCCCACCACACCTGGCCTCAAGCTTTATTTTGAAATGAAATAAAACAAACATCTACCTGGAAACAAACATTAAGAGGAATGAAGTAACCAAAACTCACTCTTTTCTTGATACAGGATCTCACTATGTGCTGATAATATGTAAATGGAAAACTTTTGTAATGAGATGGTAATTAAGAACTTTACAGCAGGGAAAACGCTTAAGAGATGAGTATGGGGGAGGTGAGCAGGAATCTCCCATCCTGCCACCTGTGGTTGTCCAGGATGGAAGTCTTTGTTTTCCAAAGTTTTCAAATTCCTGTAACCTTTGTGGCCATATGTTACCTTGTTTAATTATCACGTGTACCTTGTACTTAATTGTCACCTATGTACTGTTTTGCCTTTTGTTTACATTGCCCCACACATGAGTATAAAAAACCCCAAAACTTGAACAAGG